TCATATGCAGGAAATGCTCTAAATCATCCATATTTATGTTAAATGCATGCTGTAAATCATCCATACCACTTAATCTAACCTAATGAGAAGGGGTTTCCTTAGGGAAACGAGGGGTACCACGCACACGGCAACAGCGGCGGTGCAACGACGTCTAAGAGCGCGACGAGGGGCGGCGAGGGGGCGGCATTACCACGTCAAACAAGGAAGCAACAATGGCGCAACGATGCAGGGCACTAAAGGGTGGGTGGATACAACACGACGATGAGGACTAGGGTAGCAGAGAACGAAGAAGAAGCAGAAGAAGAACTGTGCGCTTTCGAATTAGGTATAAAAAATATGTTAGGACATTCGACGTCGGTTATTCAAAAACCCGACGTGGATAATGTTTTCGACGTCGGTTAAATCATGGAACCGACGTTGATTTTGGGATTTCAACGTCGATTATACATAAACGACGTTAAATTTAAATATTTAACGTCGTCTGTTATCTAACCGATGTTATTTATTCATTCCTACGTCAGTTTTGTTATAACCAACGTTAAATATTGTTTCATAATTATAAGTTTGTTACCGCGTTTTGTACAACGTCGGTCTTCATAAAAACCGACGTCGATTTGTGTCGTAGAAAGTGTTTTATGTAGTAGTGATTGAATCAAGTATAAAGAGGAACATATGAGAAAATATATTTCATTTTTATCATAATTATATTTTATTATTTAATTGAGTTAAAAAGTAAAGCAAACTACAAATATCAGGTTTATTAATTTAATCACATGTAAATAATATATTTTATCGTGAGATAATTACATTTGTTAACTTATTTAAAAGTTTGAGGAACTTTTAAATAATTTTTTCCGTCAATCATTCCTGAAACAATTCATTTGTTAATTAAATAGGTTAATTTAAGTTTTAAATTATTATATTGTGTTAAAATATTATTAAAGATATATATTTAACCATTTAACTTATTAATACACATTGTATTTAATACAACTTTAGAATTCCCGCTGATATTTTTGAATGCGGGACTATACATTTTTTGTAATGGATGGACTTTCTTAATATTTTATATAAGTGTTATCCCCTTATATTGGAAATATCAAATTCTTTATATTAAAGATAAAACTTATTTAATAATAATAATAATAATAATAATAATATATTTAATAAGTTATTTATTCTAATAAAGATTAATAAATAATGTTATAATATTATTGGAATTAAACTTTAGTTTTATATTAAAAATCTATAATTTTTAATTTTAATTGAAAATTAAACGCAGAAAAATATGACTTTAGATTTAAAATTTTAATAGAGTTATAAATAAATTTAATAAATAATATTTTTATAATATAATAAAATTTTAAATAGTAGTTTTTTTAATATTTAAATTGATATAATTAATATGAGATAAATAAATAAAAAATTGTAAAATATTATATCTATTATAAAACAAATTAAAATTTTATTTTTATTTCTTTCTTTATTAAAATCAATTCTAAAAAAAATCAGTTAGCCAATTTCATCATTTTAACTAAATTTTATTATTTAAAATAATGAACCAGTTTTTAGGTCAATTTTTTTTATCAACCTGATTTTTAAAACAATATTAATTTTTTTCTAATGGGTATTTAATTTTTAAGAGAATGATTCCATTGAAAATACCCACTAAATTTCCATATTTCCATCTCCAACACTAATACACGATTAGATTTATAAAAATCCAATTAAATCAATGCTATCATTTGTAGTTTTTCATGGTACTTCTTGTACCTATTTCTCTCTCTCTCTCTCTCTCTCTCTCTCTCTCTCTCATATATATATATATATATATATATATATATAGATATATATTAAAATAGTGTCCATGCTTATCTTGCTTTCAAAAGTCTACACGTAACTTGAAAAAGCATTCCTATTAAGTTCTTAGGGTTGGAGAAGCTAAAAAACATAGGGACTTCTTGCAAAATCGAGTTAAAAGCAATTGCCAATAAGTCAGTAAGAGGGTTCAGTCACATTTACATTAGGGTTGATTGAAGTGGAACGATGAGTGAGAAGGAAGAAGAAGAAGAAGAAAAAATGAGAAAAAAAGGGGAGAGAAAGCAATGATGATAAATGATATAATAGAAAAAAATAAAGAATAATAAAATGTAATGAAAAGAAAAGAAAAACTTATAAATATTAAAAATTTGGGAAATTTGGGATATGCGAGTCCTATATATTTATTCAAACTTAGTTTTTATATTTTGAAATTTGATGCATTAATTTCTATATTTTAGTTCTCTTCGTCTCCCTTCTTCCGCATACAAACATATCTAAGTAGACATTAGTGATATTTTGATAACTATAAACCGTAAAATTTTTAAATAATTTATTTTTATTAATATAATAATCTATTAAATAATTTAATAAAAATAAAAATAAATTAAAATTATTATTATAATATTAAAAAAAATTGTTTATAAAAATTGTATAGATTTAAGTTATTAAAGCATATTTTTTTAAATAATATTTTGAAGCAAAATATAATAATTATTTGTGGGAACATATTAATTATTCTAGTGTATACCGTATGGGATACATGCTGAATATACTATGCCGCGCGCGTATACATTGGTCGAGTCGTGTACAAATTGTTGAGGTGACGATGCGATGACAAAAGTGTTGGTGGGTGTGCCCACCACCAGCTGGAACAGAAGGAAAAAAAAAAAAAAAACTTGAAAAATTTGCGCCTCCGATCATCATCATTCGACTCTATGGTCTAATCTAATGGCTGCCTCCATTATAAATATACACACAAGCAATTTCCAAATTGCATTGCATCTCAAACCACACCTTCTTTACACTCCTCCTCCTCTTCCGCGCCGTCTTCATCCCCATTCATCTCTCACAAATAAATAATCAGGTTTCTCTCTCTCTCTCTCTCTCTCTCTCTCTCTCTCTCTCTCTCTCTCTTGTCCCCTCTTTCTTTTTGCGTTTCTTCATTCATTCACTTGTGCCTGTCGTGAATTCTGTCTTCCTCGGTTTTTCATCGTCTTTTCTTCCTTCCACATGTATCTGATCTTCTCCTTTTTCCATAACGAGATACGATTGATTTATATTTAGACGGAATAAATCTACATTTGAAATTTTCTCAACAAACCACAACCATGTTTTGTTTATTTCACCCTTCCTGCTTCATCGTAGATCCTTCACTACAATTTTGTCACTCTCCTTGCTTTGTCCATTAACTATTTAGCAGATTCGAACAACCAGTACCAGATGAATGAATTACACGAGTTAGAAATAAACCAAACAACTTATTATTATATTATTTTTTTATTTTAAATAAATTATCGAATGTATCATCTTGTTGGTTTAAATAAAAATTATCTCAAAATTCATTTATAATATCTAAAAAACATACACTATTCAAAAAGATACACTATTTAATTTATCTTCCTCACATCCTATAGATTTTATTATAGGAATATTTTCATTCTTAACAATAATTTAGAGATCCTCATTTATCTGTGTTCTACTAACAATATACCACTTTTTCATGTTATAAAAAATATTTACTTTTTTCCAATGTTTTATTTTACTGAGGAATCTCTTTACTTTTCTTCTACTAAACAATAAAAAATTATTCTTTATTCAATTCCATTTTTTTCCCTCTCTTATTCTTTTAATCAAAACAAATAAAGTACTACTTAATATAAGTTGAGAATTTGAACTGTATTGTATACTTTGAACTGTAATATATGACGTCATATTTTATTTTTTAATAAAATACTCTAGGGAGGTACTACTAGTGATGGTTTTGTTTTCGACCTCGGTTACGATCTGGAGTTTTATTTTTAAAAATTGTTATTTTTTTTGCTTCGTTTAATCGAAGAATTATTATTTTAAATACGGTCTCTTGTTTTCAAATTCTTAGTGCTATCTTAAATTTTTTTTTTAATAAAAGTTATTTAAAAATAAAATTAAATATTTTATTATGGGTTTTAAAATTAAGTTGTTTAAATTTTTTGGTCAGAGTTATTAATTTAAGTAATTTTTTAAAAATTTTAAACCATTTTTTTAAATTATTTAAATATAAATTTTAAAAAAATAATTATTTTTATTCTTGAATAATTTAAAATAATCAGAAGAAAGAATATCTTTTTTTTTCCTTAAAAGAAGGGTGGCATTATTTATTCGGCTGGTTGGTTGGTGACGAGGAAAGAAGCGTGGCCTAACTGTAAACCTACACTAACTTGTCTCAGAACCATTTGCAGCTCTTATTATTATTATGTTTACCAAGAGCCTAGATTGCTATTTTTTTTTTTCATGTCCTTATCCTTTTGGAAATGAGTTTGTAAAGCCATCGTGTCAAAGTTAAATTAAGACAGTGGAAGTGTATTAAAATATTAACATATCAAATATGTATATAAACAAGTTAATTATGTAATTCTTAATATAAAGTTATAACAGAAAAGGAAAAAGAAATTGACCCGTACATAGAATAATAGAGCATGTTTTATCTAATGGTTTTCCCAAAACACAAGGAGGAACTAATTTTTTCTTCTGTATCTGCTTTGACTTTTCTGAAAATATGGAGAGTAAAATATTGCGAGGATTCTGGTAAATGGATAAACATCAATTTAGTTCTTGCACTTATCTTGGAAAGGGCCATTAATTGACTTAGTTAAATGAAACTTTGAGGTATGAAATGACGTGAGTCATTAATGAAACTGAGAATTTATATATATTTTTACATATGATGGTTATAAATTGAGATAATTATGTCATGTTTATTTTTTGGTCCAATTTTCAAATCACAAGGGAATTGTCGTGATCCTGAAGGTGAAAGTTGCCCTCCAGAGTCTTGTGTACTCCATGCAACATAGTTTTGATTGAAACTTGCACTAATGTTGTGTTGCAGATATTCAAATTGTGCATAGTTGCGATTGGCCCTTCCCTGGAATGAATCCATTGTCTATCAAGGAATTTGAGAGAGAGTTTTGCAGTTCAATTTAATGGGCTGCTTCTGTTCAACTTCACAGAAAAACAAAGCGTCAGGTTATGAGGAACCCACCGTTCTAGCAACTGAGACACCTTGTGAGTATCATGATCCATCATTGAATGGTAAATTCTGGCTGCTTTGCTGTTCAAATATTGGTTTGCTTTCGGCTAAGAACCATCAAGGTCCTTTTTCAAACCCGCTAGTCTAGTAACTCTGACGGGCATTTCATCTCCGGCTTCAATTTGTAAATTTACTAAAACAATGATTCTAGAATTTTTCCCATGTGGGCATCGAAGTATTGAAATCTGATTCTTCCCCATGTATACGGTTAACTTGCAATCCCTGGACAGCGGTACTTGCATTTTGCCACGGATAGTTTCTTTACTCTGTTCTATATTTTCCGCAAAAGATAGGTACATATTTGAGTTTAAGGTCAAGGAAATTCTGAATTAGTTGTTTTAAAAGGAACAGACATACTTAAAGGAAAATGGTTTTATAATCAGAAACTTTCGAGGGTTTATATTTTATGCAACTATTTGTTGAAACCCCCTTCCAAGTGATTCGTCATTCTTATTAAGTTTCAAAGCTGATAAAAGAATCTTGCTTTCTTTCGAGGGTTTGTATTTTATGCAACTAGTTGTTGAAACCCCCTACCAAGTGATTCGTCATTCTTATTAAGGTTCAAAGCTGATAAAAGGAATGTTGCTTTCTTTCTTTCGTCAGTTACTGTTAATGAAGTAGAAGCCTTGCATGAACTCTACAAGAAGTTGAGCAATTCAATTGTCGAAGATGGTCTTATTCACAGGGTGAGTTAGGCATTTAAGTTTACCAGTTTAGATGAAATGTCTTTAAAGTTGGCACCTAAGTAATCTGTTTGATAATTAACTTATCGATCATCTTTCATTCCAGGAAGAATTCCAGCTGGCACTATTCAGGAATAAAAACAAGAGAAATCTGTTTGCAGATAGGGTTTGTAAATCTAATCCATGTTCTATAGTTTAAGATTATTTGACCCTAAAGTTCATGGAGACTACGTGCTATACTTACAATATCCGAAGCTTATTGCTTTTTTCAGCGAAATCTCTTTATCTGATGTATCATTTTGTTCTACATTTACAGTCATATTTGACTATCACACTCATACTGTTTGAATCTGATGCATACTCACATTTGTTTCTCCATAGATTTTCGACTTGTTTGATCTCAAGCGCAATGGGGTCATTGATTTTGGCGAATTTGTTCGATCATTGGGTGTCTTTCACCCAAATGCACCTTTAGAAGACAAAATTACTTGTAAGATTGATCTTCCAACATAAACATTTCATGCTAATGTCTTCTTTTCCCCCTAGTTTTGGAGTTTCCTATGTTAAGTATATGCACTGGTTATTAATGTTCAACTAAAGCTTTTCAGTCAACCACAAGATACTTATCTTTCGTTAAATTGGGAATAATGATTTTGCAGTTGCTTTTAGGTTGTATGATCTGAGGCAGACGGGGTTTATTGAAAGAGAGGAGGTATGGGTTTTCTTTCCTTGTTGAAATCACAGCTTGAAATTTTGTTTTTGGTCATTAATTCAATGTTAAGTCATGGTTCTTTAGTCTTATGCTTGCTCAGTATAAGTTTAAATGAACCCATTGCTTTCACTGCTTACATAGTGGCCTGATTTATATGTGCAGTTGAAGGAGATGGTATTGGCACTTCTCCACGAGTCGGATCTTGAGCTTTCAGATGATATGATTGAAAGCATTGTGGACAAGGTTCATAAATCAGAAACTTTACCTTATATTTATATTTATTCTTTCCAAGTTCTAATGAGCTCCCTTTGAACTCAGCATTCCTCACGTTGTTGTATACTTTCTTACCAACAGACATTTAGTGATGCTGACATAAACGGTGATGGAAAGATCGATCAAGATGAGTGGAAAGCATTTGTGTCCAAACATCCATCCTTGATAAAGAATATGACTCTTCCATATCTGAAGTCAGTATATTCGTTCTCCACGAACCTTATTTTTTTCAGTAATTGGTGTTTCAGAAAACTTTTCCTTCTCATGCGTGTCTCCTCCCCATGTTGCAGGGATATTACATTGGCATTTCCCAGTTTTATTGTAAATACAGAAACTGAAGACTCAGAGATGTGAGTTTGGGAGGTTTTGGCTTCACCAAAGATGCTATATACTAGTTTATAGACATCTTTGATTTCGTCTCTTGATATGGTTGTTGTCAAGAGATGATGCCCTTAGCTGCGGTGTCCAAGACAAGAATACAATTTGGTGTATGGTTCCCCAGCAAAAGTTCTAAATCTGGTTTTGCAAATGCACAGCTACCGAGTGAAGTTTTAAATTTGGTGTAAGGGTACGAATTATTCATTTGAATTGTTTATTACAATGCAAGGTTAGTTTGCACATGCATTTTGTGTATACATATAAGTAGGGTATATATATATATATATATATATATATATATATATATATATATATATATATATATATATATATATGTAATTCGGCCATCTTTTACTGCTTCTGAGTTTGAAGGTATGAGAATTATGGTAGAGGATATTTAATCACCTTGGATATATAGTTGTTTGAATAACCATTAACAAGATCGCTGTATCTGAGCATCTTAATCACTCAACTGATACAATTTGCTAAGAGCGTGGACTGAATTTAGACACAAGTGTCATTTCTGTTGTTTGGTACTTTTTGCCTTTATTATAGACTCGTTTTTTTTTAAATATTTTTGGATTAATCTTTCTTTAAAATATTTTAAAATTAATTTTTTGAAAATGTTTTGAAGTGTTCTTTATGAGATAGTGAAGTTATTGTTCCATGAAAATTATTTTTGGATTTAATTTTTTAAAACTTTTCGAATTGATATTTTTAGAATGGTAAAATTATATTATACATTCTATAATTTAAAATAAAATAAAAAAGTATATATTTTTAGATTCATTCATCCAAATTTTTATAAATTTTTTTAAATCAAAATATTCCAAAACATGTTTTCGGAGCATTAGCTTTATAAAATTTACAGAGAATATTATTATCCTTTTAAATAAATAAGAAGGTACAAAATAAGGTGCGATGAAAGAAGAAAATATGGAGATAAAAAAAATCTGTCCTGTTACTATTCGTCTTTTTAATCCAATGATCTTATTTGCATCAAATTGGAATTTTTTTATTAAGATGTTAAAAAAATTAAATGTTTTTTTCAGTTTAAGTATATATATTTAGTCCCTATAAACGTAGCTTTGGAGATTTGTAATATTTTTAAACTTTTTACATTTTTTATTATTTTTAGTACTAACTGTTAATTATAACTAGTTTAATGCTAAAAATAGAAGATAACTAATAAAATTAGGATAATAAGAAAGATTAAAAATTAAAATAATTAATTGTTTTTAGGAATGTAATTATATTAAGTAATATATTTATTATTTAATATAAATAAGGTAATTTTTACTTTATTATTAATAATTATTTTAAATATTATATTTTCATTAAAAGTATCTGTAATTTATTTCGCTTACCCTTTAACATATTTAGTGCCTATACAAGCTTATAACCACTACATTGTCTTCTTCAATTTCTTTGGCCATGTCCAATAATTTAAATATTTATTTGAGATCCGTTATTACATCACTAATGTAAATATATTTTAAATATCACATTTACACTACTATTAATAAAATTAGGAGTAATTAAATTCATACATTCATTATCTCTTTCATCTTATTTCTATCTTATTTTCCTTCTACCACATTGTCATTTACTATCACGTTATTTTCATATATTCACACATTTATCAATTTATCTTTTTGTAACATATAAAAATTTGTTATTAAATTTTTTTAAATATAATATATTAAATTATAATATTTTAGTTAATTTATATATTTTTATAATAGAAGATAAAAACAATATTATTAAAATATATATTATTATTATTATTAGTAAAAAATGTAATAATAAAAAAATTGATTAGTTATTATATAATTAATAAAAATAATTAAAACTTAATTAAAAAAAGAGAGAGGAGGCTTATCTCTTTAAGAGATAAGCATGCAATGAAATAATAATAAAGAGTAAATAAAAATGTGACTATAAATATACGTGAGAGAGAAGAGAGAAAATTTATGCAAAAAAGAGAAAAAACAAGAGAGAGTGATGGGAAAAGAAAGAGAATCCAAGAGAAAGAAATACAGAACAAGGAAAAGGAGAAGAAAGAGAAAGAAAAATTAACTTAAAAAAAATAAAATAAAATTGGTGTATCACGTGTCATTATTAAGATATGAGAATGAAATATTTGTTATTTTATGGTTGTTGGATATTCTTAATCTCATTCTATTTATTCTGTCATATTTATTTTATCTCTAGTTACGTATTGATCCTCTTTGTATTTATTTATTTATCTTCAGTTATACACTTGTCTAATTTTATTTATCTCTAGTTATGTATTAGTCCTATTTATTTTATTTTTATTTACGTATTAGTATTTTTTTATATTTATTTATTTATCTTTAGTTATTTACTGATTCTATTTTATTTATCTTCAATTACGCATTAGTTCTATTTATTTATCTCTAGTTACACGTTTTATATTTGTTTATTTATCTTCGATTGCGTACTAGTCCTGTTTTATATTTATTTTAGTTATGTCTAGTTATATACTGATCTTCATTTATATATATTTATTTACGTTCAATTAAGCGCATGTTCTCTTTTTATTTATATTTATCCTTAGTTTCAGATCTTGCTCCTTGTTTATTAATTGATATTTATATTATTTAATTATTTTTAAAGAAAAATATTTTATTTATGAAAGATTTGATGATAATATAGATGAAGGTTAATCCTTAGGGATTAAATGAGTAAATATCACTTAAAGAGTGATTAATTTTTTGCTCATTTATTCTGACTAGTCGATACAAAAATCAATTCAAATATTCACAATATAAAATAAATGGGATATAATGATAAAGTTGAAAAGATGATTTTATATATCATTTTAAGATTATGTTATTTTACATGTTCTCACTTTTCTATTGTTATCTTTTGTGTATGTTACAACTAAAATATCAACCTAAATAGATAGAGACATAAATGTGAAAAATAAGTGTAATTGATAAATCAATCACTTTTAAAAGAAAAATATTTATCAATTTTAATAATTTTTTCTCACATAAAAACAATATAAACTTGTAAAGTCCACATATTTACACATAAATGTATAAACATTTATCTCATGTCTTACTTTTATCAAGATTTAAAGATTTAATAGAAAATAATCATCTCTTAAAATATGATTAAATTAACGTCATAAAAATGGATGTCACATTAAATGGTATCAGAGCAAAGTTTTATGTATGACCTGTGAAATGAGTTTATCATGAGATCTTATGAACCTTAACTTGTATAATTTCATATAATAAATAATATGAGAAACAATGAGTTAACAGAAGCGGTGCAAGCTATCAAAGACATGAGCACTGCATTATTAAAGAACCAATAAATGTTTAGTTGAATTTAAGATAAACAAACCTCGACAATTCTTTGGAGGTTATAACCCAGAAAAGGTTGAATTGTATATTAAAATTGGAAAAAAAAATTGAAGTTATGAATTATCCTGACAACCAAAAAGTGAATTATGTTGTGTTTATGTTAATAGGAAAGACTGAATATTGGTGGGATAGTACCAAGAGATTACTAGGAGGAAAACCAATAATTACTTGGAAGGTGTTGAAAACAAAATTTTTAGAAAAATAATTTTTCAATGATGTGAGGATAGTAAAAGAAATTGTTTTATGCAATTGAAGCAAGAATATATGACGAGTAAGAGAATATGCCTCTAATTTGAAGATTTAAAAGAATACTATGTGTTCTTTTATCACTTTGATAAAAGAATGAAGTGTATAAAATTTGAGAATGAACTTAGGTTTGAATTGAGAAAAATAGTGAGAATATTAGAAATTTCAGATTTTCCTACATTTATTCATAAGTATAGATTTTTGGAGGATTTTAAAAACAATTTAAATAATAAACCAAAATATTTCGGACCCCCGCAAAATAAAAGGAGACAAAATGAAGAAAAATCCTACAACCATCCCCAATGGAGATCTTAACCCAACCAATTTTTTGCAGGAAATTCTTATAAACCTGTAAATAATCAAGTTAAGTGTTTTAAATGTGGACAAGATCATTATGCAAAAGATTGTCATCTTAAGGGACTTGTCTATTTCAAGTGTAGAAAACTTGGTCATATATTCTCTGAATGTTAGTAATAAAAACAAAATTTTAACCCATTTGCACCTAAGGCAAGACCTACAACAACATGGAGAGTATATACCATGATTGAAGTTGAAGTTCCTTAAAACAATGATTTATTAAAGTTGAAGTTCCAATATGTTGAAAGTCTCACATCGTCTACCTCATGTCATTTGGTATGGTTTAAATACATGTTAGACTACTCCACATATTGCCAATTGGTTTTATGTTGGAACCTTAACATGGTATCAAAATCAAAGCCTAACATCTTTCCGGTTATTATCATGGGCCAAAAGTTGCCCTTTAGTTGGGTTAAAAGTACCATTTTGCCTAGTCCGGCAGACTTTGTTGGAGGGGGCGTGTTGAAAGTCCCACATCGCCTATCTCATATCATTCAGTATGGTTTAAATATATGTTAGGCTACTTCACATATTTCCAATTGGTTTTATGTTGGAACCTTAACATGGTATCAGAGCCAAAACCTAATATCTTTCCGGTTATTGTCATGGGTGAAAAGTTGCCCTTTGGGTGGGTCAAAAGTACCTTTTGTCTGGTCCAGCTGACTTCGTTGGAGGGGGTGTGTTGAAAGTCCCACATCGCCTACCTCATGTCCATTTGGTATGGTTTAAATACATGTTAGACTACTTAACATATTGCTAATTGGTTTTATGTTGGAACCTTAACATCTTTATTGAATCTTTGTAATTATGATGACAAAACTTCTATATAGGATGAACCATATTTTAATCAAATATAACAAGTTGAATTTTATTTAAAAAATTTTAGAGTTTAACTTTTTTATCTTGGCGAGTGTGATTATCCAAAATTCTTGAGTGATTCAAGAACACTTGGTTGTATCAAAGGACTTTCACATCCTCTGTGAGTTGTCTCCCTTGGGAAAAGTGATTCTTTCCTTCCACTTTATCACTAAATTCCTAAATTTTCTACAAGGTTCTAACCTTAAAGATCCTAAATCATCCCTTGTGCTATTGAGATTCATATAAGTTGGTATCAGAGCCCCGATTTAAGGATTTGAACATCAAATTGATGGCAGAAGAGGAAAATTACAATCAAGAAGCATAAATTAGTCCATTTCAAATGAGGACATTGGTACAACATTTGGAAGGATGAATTATACGACATAACAATGAGCTCCACGATAGATTGAACTGATTGGAGAATAGAGATCCCGAAGATGAAGAGGAAAGGAGAAATAGGAGAAAGAATGATAGAGTAGCAAAACGAAGTAGGCTTGAAGGAGTCAAGCTTAACATTCATCTATTCAAAGGAAAAAGTGATCCGGAGGCATACTTGGATTAGGAGAAAAAATAGAGCATGTTTTCTCATGTAACAATTATAAGGAGACCCAAAGGGTGATGCTTGCAATCAAGAAATTTTCTGACTATGCTCTTATTTGGTGGAACAAGCTACAAAAGGAGAGAAGTAGAAATGAAGAGTCAATGGTTGATATAAGGGCTGAGATGAAAAGAATCATGAGGAAGCGGTATGTGCCGGCTAGTTATTCAAGGGACTTGAAATTTAAACTCCAAAAACTTACTCAAGGCAACAAGGGGGTTGAGGAGTATTTCAAGGAAATGGACATGCTCATGATTCAAGCAAAGATTGAAGAAGATGAAGAGGTAATTATGACCCGATTTATTGGTGGTTTGAATATTGATATACGTGATATTGTTGAATTGTAAGAGTTTGTTGATACGAAAAATTTACTTCATAAAGCAATTCGAGCGGAGCAACAACTCAAAAGAAAAGAAGTGGCTGAGAAGAGTTCTACCAACTTTGTATCTTCAAGTTGGAAGGACAAAGACAAGAAAGATAGGGTTGTTACTTCTAGTAGTTCCACACCTATTCCTACAAAGACTCCTTCAAAGTCTGAAGAACAATCCTCCAAAAGAAGTAGAGATGTAAAATGTTTCAAATGTCAAGGCCTATGACACTATGCTTATGAGTGTCCTAACAAAAGGTCTATGGTTCTTAGAGAGGGAGAATATATAAGTGAATCTGAGGTTGAAGAAGATGAGGAGATTCTAAAGGAAGATTTATTGATGATTAGGCGATTACTTGATGACCAATTGAAGCCTATGGAAGAAAGCCAAAGAAAAGACATTTTCCACATTAAATGTTTAATCAATGACAAGACGTGCATGATGATCATAGATGGAGGTAGTTGCACCAATGTGGCTAGTGCTAGATTAATGTTAAAGCTAAATTTACCTACTAAACTATATCCTAGGTCTTATCATAAACTTCAATGGCTTAGTAAGGATGAAGAGGTGCAAGTGAGAAAGCAAGTTGAAGTGAACATTTCTATTGGAAAATATAATGATAAGGTACTTTTTGATATTGTTCCTATGGAGGTCAGTCACTTACTTTTGGGGAGACCGTGACAATTTGATAAAAGAGTATATCATAACGGGTTTACTAACAAGATATCTTTCATGCACTAAGACAAAAAGATTGTGCTCAAACCTTTAAGTCCACAAGAAGTGTGTGAGGATAAAAAGAAAATGAGAGAAAAATTTCTTTAAGAGAAGAGAGAAAAAGAAAGTGATAGTGAAACACTTGAGAAGAAAAAGAGTGATCATAAGAAGAGTGAAACACTTGAAGTGAGAAAGAGCTATTTAGTCACAAAAAATGAGTATAATGTTAGTTTTACATTCAATTTGTCAGACTTGTCTCTTTTTTATGTAGATGATGAATCCGATTTGAGGACAAATCCTTTTCAAGAGGGAGAGAATGATGTGGACATGACCTATAACAAGGACTAGAGCAAGAAAAACAAAAGAAGCTTTTCAACAAGTATTATTGGTTGACCAAATTGTGTCTTGGATTAATCAATTAATGGACTTTAGTTTGGTTTGAATTTTGGTTGCCACAATTTCAGTTACAATCAGTCATTAAGTAGTATCAATTCTTAGATTAATGGATCATTATTAGCTTTTATTTGTCTCCATTAAGTAGTTTTCAATTCCTAGGTTAATGAATCATTATTAGCATTTATTTTCCTTTATTGAATCTTTGTAATTCTGATGGTAAAGCTTCTATATAGGCTGAATCATATTTTTATCAAATATAACAAGTTGAATTTTATTTAAAAATATTAGAGTTTAGCTATTTTATTTTCATGATACCTAAATTCTTGAGTGATTCAAGAACACTTGACTGTATCAAAGGACTTTCACATCCTTTGTGAGTTGCCTCCCTTGAGAAGAGTGATTCTTTCCTTCCACCTTATCACTAAATTCCTAAATTTTCTACAAGGTTCTAACCCTAAAAATCCTAAATCATCCCTTGTACTATTGAGATTAATATCATAATTGCTTTCTGTTTTGAATTGTCTCACAAGTTTCCCTTCCTTTTATAGCCCTGGAATTGAGTGTTAAGCAGGGTTTGGTGTTTCGCTCGTTTGAATTGTTATTTAATTTTGGTGGCAATAGAAATAACAATATCAATTTGGTTCACAAAACCCTAAACGGTGGAGATTGTGGGGTTTACTATAATCAATAATTAGATTTAGACCAAACCCTTTGACCTGTCTTCTCACACCTTTAGCTTCATACAGTTTATGCAATGGAGCTTCAGATTCCAATTCACACAGTTTTCCAAATGCCCTCTCTTCTCCAAGTTGTGGCTGCCGACACTATTCTCGCGGTCGTGCAATCTATCGCTTTGGCTTGTGTGCAATATGATGTGTTTCAGTGCTTTCTATATGTGTAATGTTTGTCATTAGTAAATATGTTATCAGATGCTTTGCTTTTATTGGTTCAATGTACAAACTATTATAGTATAGATGGGTTTCAACTATAGATTTGGGAGTTGGGAAAATGTCAGGACATTTTGCTACAATGGAATGGTATCTTACACGGCTGGTGTCTGCTTTGTCTTGGATGTTATCTCTAATTTCTTATTCTATGATATTGTGGTTCATTTTCTAAGTTTTTTGTAGTTAGTATTACATCAAGGTATTGTACTGATTAGGAACAAGAAGATTGAGGTTCTTCTAATTTTACAAAACTAAAGAAAAACTAAATTATTTTCCTCTTAATGCTGCAAAAGAAGAACAATCTATGTTTATTAGTTATAGTGCACTTGATAACTTCTAGGGAGAAGTTCTACTTACAACATATTTTTTATAAAATAGGATACCACATAAGAAAACTGGTAAAATTTTCTATGAGGTATGGAGATGTTATCAACCTAATATTAAATACCTAAGAGTGTGAGAGTGTCTAGCTAAGGTAATGGTACCTGATTTTAAGAAAAGAAAAATAGGTTCTAAAACTTTTAATTATATGTTCTTAGACTATGTAGAACATAGTGTTGCTTATAGGTTTCTTATCCTAAAAAGTGATGTAATTGAACATAATACTATAATAGAGAAAAAAATGTTAAGTTTTTTAAACATATGTTTCCTCTAAAGGTAAGTGAGACACCTAAACAACCCATAAATATTAACCGTGATGATGACGTGCAAGAGGATTTGAGGAGAAGTAAAAGACAGAGAAAGGAAATCTACTTTGGATATGATTTTTACACTTATCTAGTTGAAAATGACCCAACAAATTTTTCAAAAGCAACTAATGTTTCTGATACAACACATTGGGATAATGCCATTATGACTAAAATTGACTTAAGAAAAATAATACTTATACTTTAGTATATTTGCCTAGGAGAGAAAAATCTATTAGTTATAAGTGGATCTTTAAGAAATAATACTTGGAATTTAGTAAATTTGCCTAGAGGAGCAAAATCTATTGGTTGTAAGTGGATCTTTAAGAAAAAGTATCATCCTGATGAATCCATATATATATATATATATATATATATGAAGAAATATTAGTAGCAAATGCTTTTACTCAAAAACTCAATATTGATTATTTTTGTACCTTTGCCCCTATGACTAGGGTTTCCTCTATTCGAGTTTTGTTAGCTCTAGCAACTATCCATAAGCTAGTTATACACCAAACGGGTGTTAAGACAACCTTTTTTAGTGATGAATTAAAGGATGAAATTTATATGACTCAACCTGAAAGGTTTGTTGTTCCTGATCAAAAGAACAAAGTGTGCAAACTTTTAAAATCTTTGTATGAATTAAAATAGATACTAAAATAGTTGCATGAAAAACTTGATAGTGTTCTACTTTGTAATAGTTTTTCAACTAATGATGTTGATAAATGTGTACTCTAAATTTGAAAGTGGTGAATGTGTCATTACACGTTTATATGTAGATGACATGTTAATATTTGATACATGTATTTGAATAGTCTCTAGAACTAAGTTGTTTCTGGGATCTAAATTTGAAATGAAAGATATGAGTGAAGTCAATGTGATTTTGAGAGTTAAAATCATAAGGAAGGGAGATAATATTTTATTATCCCAAGAATAATACATTGAGAAACTTCCTAGGAAGTTTGAGTATTTTGACTTCAAACTAATGAGTACCCCTTATGACGCTAACTCTTAATTAAAGAAAAATAGAAGAGACTCAATCTCTCAAATCTCAATATGCCTAGATAATTGGGAGCTTACTGCACTTAATGAATTTGTCTAGGCCTGACATTGATTATGCAGTAGGTAGACTGAGTAAGTACACTTAATGTCCTAATCAGGAACATTGGGATGCACTTGCAAGGCTTATGAGATACTTAAGAGGTTCAATGGATTATGTCATTGAATATAGTGGATTTTCCGCTGTACAATGATGCTAATTAGAACTCCAGATGAGACAAAATTCACTAGTGGCTATGTATTCACACTCGAAAGTAATGCGATTACATGGAGATTAGCCAGACAAATAATTATTGCAAGATCAATAATGGAATTTGAGTTTGTTGCTCTCAAAATGATTGGTAGTAAAACTGAGTAATTGAAAAACTTCTTAGCAAATATTCCATTAAGAATAAAACCAACCTTATATGTGTCAATACATTGTGATTGCCAATCGGTAATAGCTATAGCTAAGAACAAGAAGTATAATGGAAAGAATAGACACATACAATTGAAACATAATTTAAGGAAGTAGTTGTTAAATAGTAGAACAATTTTCATTGACTATGTGAAGTTAGAACGAAATCTAACATATCCTCTAACGAAACCCTTAGGAAGAAACATGATGGTAACCCAACCTTTATGATTTGAGATCTCATGAATAAGATTCATATGGGTAAAAACAAGTCACTTGCTAGTTCTGCTAGCACTAAAATTGACTAAAATCAATTATGTTCATTCTTATGGTGTGTGTGAAAGTGCTAGATACTGCATCATTGAGAGGTTAAACTTTGTAATTAAAATTTTATGTGGTGTATAGATTTTAGTCTAAACAAACTTTTTAATGATTTCATATCTCTTATGGGTGATGTATGATTTGTAGCATACGTTTGATGAAATCACCTATATGAGTATCGAGTGAGACCACTTGTATGAGATCTTTGCAAAATTTTTAGAGCACTCATGAATACCGGACACACGCATGGTCTAGTACGCGCAATATAACAATAATAACAAGAATTGTAGGGGTGTATTGTGATTGTTAAATTGCTAACACATACTAAGTATTTTGGTTCATATAGCTTGTTATATCAACTACACTATGTGTTAAGTTTTCAGTCTAAGACGGTTTCATATAGCTTGCTATACCAATTCTGATACATTACATCTTTTACATCTTATATGAGACCCACGATCTTCTTCTTTTGTTCTTTTATCTCCTTTTTTTTTTGGCAACATATGGAAGATTATTGTAAAATAGAGGTATTGCAAAACTTAGAAAGTGTCCCGCTAACCTAGAACATGTTCTATTAACCTAGGAGTACTTCACTCTCCCATGATTCCAAACCACAATTACCCATGATGTTGAATGTGGAAATGAATTTTGTTGCTCATATTACACATATAAATAAACAATTTCACACTCCTTCAAAGGTTTCGGTTTTACTAATCATCTCTTCTCTCTTTTTCTATTCATTTTATCCAATTCTGAGTTTATTTACTCTTTTATGAGTTATTTGCTAATTTTTTAGTTCCTCCAAAATTATAAGAATTTTTTGTTATATCCTGAAGAATTTACACAATACAATGTGGATAAATCTTTAAGAACAAGAATTATATATATCTCAGGAATTAAATTTTGTTCGTATCTTTGTCAGACTTTTCAAAGATTTTCTTTAAATCATCTCATATGCCTTTTTATATGTTTTGGATTAGTTTGTATGGTTTAATAGGATTCTTCATATAACATTGCACAATATTCTCCTTATGTATTAAACCTTTTAGTTCTTTTAATTCTTCTTGATTTGTTGTCTTTGTCGAATATTTGCGTATCAAAACATAGCAATAGCAAAGATTTGATTAAATATGAATAGGTGAACGTTCAAATTGGGAAGGAAAGAAGTTATTGAAAAATTCATTACATAATCTCACAGTGGACCAGATTATAACACCCCAAACAACTGTTTATATATCCATCTTTCAATATGATTGAAAGAAAAAAACATTACATTGATTAGGGAAAAATGAGTTAAGGATACCATTTTTTCACCTTGTCTTCCTTTAAAAAATATTTTGTTTTTTATCTTTTTATTATAAAAAGAGAGATAGATTAAGAAAGTTATTAAGAAGAATGTTGTAAACAATATTATTCAGTCTGAAGTGATATATTATCTGTTATAATCTCTTTTATGTGTGTCAAGTGTCTTTTATTACAGTCAACATTTTTTTTTTTAAATCATTTTATTTATTTTACATATTGATACTTTACATTTAAATATAAAATCTGTAACTATTTATTTGTATTGTTATATTTATTGGAATGAATATATCAATATTATATATATAATCTAAAATCTAACTCATGAAAATTATTAAATAAGATTAACATTAAAAATAATAAAAAATTTAACTATTATTAATTTGTTTATTATACTAGTTAAATATATAATTTTAAATATTAAATAATTCAAATAATAAACAATCTAGTATATTTAAAAAATATTATAAAAATCTAAAAGAAAAATATTTAAAGAAAAATCTGTGAGCCAATCCAATCAATTCGATCAAGAATAAACTAAATTGAATAGGGTTAAATAAAAATAATAATTCATTTTTTTATTGATTTAGGTGATAAACATAATTCGTGTAGATCTAGTAAAAATGTGCTAAGAAATATGATTGGAAATTTAACTTAAAAAAAAATACTAACCCAATAAATTAAAGTTTTAAATTAGACCTAGTTTCTTAAAGTTTAAAGAGTAAACTTTTCGTTTCTTTTTAAATCTAATAACGTTTTATTTTACGTATCATATATAATAATGTAACTTATATTTTTTTTCCACACACTTTAAATAATAATGGTTGTTTTATAAGCTACTGTGGTAGATTCATTTTAAAAGTGAACGCTAATAATAATTTATATATATATATATTTTTTTTAAACAATGATCAATCTTAATAATTGATTTTAAAACTAAGTAATAGATTATCATCAAATAAAAAAATTAAAAAAATTATAAAAATATAAGAGATCCAATCTATAAATTTATAAATAAAAATATTTAATAATTATTAAATTTAAAAAATAAAAATTTATAAAATTGTATGAATAATCATTCAAATATCAAAATCATAAATACTTATATAAATTATAAAATTATATATCATAATTCATTATGAAAATTATGATGAACTAAATCTCCTAAATAACAATACTTCTTATATGAAAATTGATCATAAATATATTATAGATATGAAATCAAAATATTTGTATTCTTAAATGAAATATTAATATTTATATTAATTTTTGTATTTTTAATCTTTTTCTTTGTTGTCTTGTGTCTGTTGTGATTTTTTTCTTTTTCTTTTGTTAATGAGTTAAATGATTGCACCCAACACTCATTGTTTAATGCGAGAGGTGGGAGCCATTTCTTTATGCTCAATCACTTTCCCCCACATCACAAACTCATCTTCTAAGTTTCTAAATTTTCTTGCCAAACAATAATTTCAATTTACTTTCAATTATTTTAAGATTAAACAATTATGTATATAAGCTTTATTTTAAGTTAAGTTTATGAAAGGTCAACATAATACACAAGAATTATTTCTTCATTTTTAGTTAAACGTATTTTAAAACTTAACATGATGACACCTTCAATATTTTTCAATATTCCGCAATGAAATAAAATACTATTACCACATTGTGATCCACATTTATACGTAAACTTTGTTTTTGAATTTTGTCATTTTTAGTTGGAATTTTCGAGGTTGTCATATGATAATTTTTGTATCTTTCTGCAAATTATTATAAAATTAATTATTATGGTGACTCGGGTGATTCTAAGTTGAAATTGTTTATGAAATTAAATTTTTTATTTATTGAGTGAAATAGTTAAAATTGTTTATTTTATCTTTTAAAATGAAAGTTCACTTTGGAAACACGATTTCCACGAAACTATATAGGTTATAAACAAACCCCGTCGTTTTACATAATAAGCAAAATAATCTTAATCATTTTGGTATTAAGTGCAACCTAACACTCTGATCTAAACACTGTAGAGAAAAAATTAATTAGATAATAATAGTGAAACATTATAAAACACCTTAATTACTAAAAAATATTTGACTTTTTATTACAATTATTACCGTTTCCCTCCGTAATTATTAATGTACATTAAATAGTTACAGAATAATGCAGCATTAAATCGAAGTATTCTTATTTAATAAAGAAAAATGTAATTAAAAAATAATTAAACTTTAAATTCCTAAAATATAAGTTTTATTTATATAAGAAAAAAAGTTAAAAATGTGAATCGTTATGAGAAAGGGACAAGAGTTATTAGGTTCCTAAAGAAAAATATGCATTAAATAGTTTCAATAGAAACTACTATTATTTACCTTTTTTTCTTTCTTAAGATTTGTCTTTTTTGTTTATTTTCTTTTTTCATAGTTATCTATGCAATTATGAACGAAGGAGCAGAGAAAGATGGAGCATGGACGGAATCATCCTCTGTCCTCTTTGATTTGGTTGATAACACCGAAAACCTTTCTTTTATGGCAATAATATATATATATATATATATATATATATATATATATATATATATATATATATATATATATATAAACAAATATAAATTAATTAAATTCTGCAAATTTTATTCAGCATTTGTTCCCTATCTATCTATCATAGTCCAACGCCACCAACTGAACACAGAACAAAACAACAACAACCTCAACTTGGTTCCTCCTCTTCCTTCTCCTCCAAACCTTAAACTTTCGCATAACCCAATCAAGTTTTGCTTTAGATTCTTATTTCCCATCAAACTATATAGTATTTATTTCTCTCTCTGTGTGTATCTCTGTCTCTATCTCGCTCTTTGCATCTTCGGAATCCAAAATATTCCAACTAAACATTTCTTCCTTTTCATGGCAGATCCTACCCGTTTTTCGTTCAGGTTAGATTCAAATCACCCTAATACTCAAATAAACTGGGTAGCCTTTAATTAATGCTAGTCGATTAAAAAATTGTTTTTTCTTTTGTTTACTGGGTTCTAGTTTCACACACAGTTTGCGATCGGATCCGGTTCTACCTTCCTTAAAATCTATTATGTGATGAAGTGAAAACCAAATAAACACAAAAATAGCATTCTTTCCTTTGATTTGTTGCTTACTCCATCCTCTATCTTGCTTGGGGTCCAAGGTTTTTTCCGTGTTTTTTCAGTTATGCTACATTCTTTATATATACGTAGAAGCTTAGACTTAAAACCAGTTTCAAATGATTCGTGCCTGTCAATATCAAAGGTAACTTTTACCTTCTGTCGTTTTTTATTTATGTTGTTGGTCCTCCCTTTGTTGTTCTCCACCTGGATAATATTCTCAACTTTTTAGGTTTCACTCTCTACACATGATTCCTAATGATTTTATATCCTTTATTACAAAATTGAAGTTCTGAAATTTTGGTCTTTTGAACACATTCTTCAGTCGGGCTCATTGGTAGAGGAAGTATTCGTAATTAAGCATTGAAGAATCCTTTAACTCCTCTGTATTGATTTTTATTGCAATTTGATGTTGTTGTAAATGTTATTAAACTATTTAGCTTGCTTATTGTTTCTTTGTAGTAAAGCTTTTTTTTTTTTTGTTCCTGGGAAATGCTCTCACCATAATATCCATGTTCTGTTGCAGTTCAATCTCATACCTTTTGGTGTATCTTTAATGCAATCAGTTAATGAATGAGAAGAGGAATCCGAAGCGTCCAAAATCACTTCCTTACAAGATGCCTGTGACAGACTCAAATGAGGCCCAGAATTTTGATGATAACATTCTTTTCCCCGTTGAAGAGATTGTACAATACCCATTGCCGGGATATGTGTCGCCATCTTCAATAAGTTTTAGTCCTGATGATAGTTTAATTTCTTACTTGTTTAGTCCTGATCACTCTTTAAACAGAAAGATTTATGCTTTTGATCTGAAGACCAATGCACAGGAATTGTTATTCAGTCCCCCAGATGGTGGACTAGATGAAAGTAACATTTCTCCAGAAGAAAAGTTGAGGAGGGAGAGGTTGCGGGAGCGTGGTTTAGGCGTGACACGGTATGAATGGGTGAAGACAAGCTCAAAAAGGAAAGCAGTCATGGTGCCATTGCCTGCTGGGGTATGTTCCTTATCCTCCAATGCAGCTGGTTAAAATGTTGTCTTATGATTGTTTCTGAAGAGAAAAAGCAGTAAAAGGTGTTAAACATATATGTTAGACTTTAATTCTTAATGCTGGTAGGCACACCCCAGAAACACATCGACCACAAGCTCACATTACTCCAATAATCTTATCATGATGCCACCAGAATGTTATTTCTGCGTTGGTGCCATGTCTGAACCTTTATAACACCTGCTTGGAACCAGCTGTCGGCATTAGATATTCTATACAAATTAATTAACTGAATCTTCAAATGCTGATTTTTATTTATTTATCTTTTTTGTTTAGGGTGGCTTATCATTCTGCAACTCTCTAAAATATTTGAAAGAATGTCGCTGGAGTTATTTACTAACCTCTTCAATTTCTTTATTAAAACTGAGCTTATTGTTCTTGAATTTGAAAGTTGTGTTAACTAGAATAATTACTGATGCATCAATGCCATTGGTATTGACTAGGCTTGTACCACCCTAGTCTGATACTAGTATAGGAATCTTATTTATACATATATAGCAATGTTATGTCAAGGTGTGTATATATTCTGTTGTGTTTTGTATAGGTGTGTATTTGAATGAATGTTTTCCTCCCCTTTTGTATTTTATGTTGAATTTGATATTGATTATTAAATTCAAATAGTCATGTGTCTAATGGCTATTTCTTTTTCCACATGAACAGATTTATATTCAGGACCTTTCCCTTTCAAAACCAGAGCTCAAGCTTCCAAGTGTATCTGGTTCACCCATTATTGATCCACATCTCTCTCCAGATGGGTCAATGCTTGCCTATGTAAGGGACTGTGAGTTGCATGTTCTGAATCTCTTATCCAATGAATCAAAGCAGTTGACTTGTGGGGCAAAGGAAAATGGTTTGGTAAGTTCAACAATTGGCTATTCTCTAATGTATTTGATTTAGTAAATGCATTTGAGTTTAATGAAAAGCAGTTAATGGTTCTTGTATATGGCCACTTGACTAATTAAACTAATATTTTTACATAAGTTATCTTTAAAGAAAAAAATATTTTAGCAATTGAAAGATTGTATGGTAGTGTTTCTTTTGAAACATTCCAAGGTTCACCTACCTCAAATCAGCTGCACATATCCTATTTAATGTTTTTAACTCTGTCCTATGTGTTTTCATCAGTTATGAGGCTTTTTACTGCTGAATCTGGTTAAGCTTGGTCCTTCTGTCTGTGCCGCCATTGGCCTGGATAATGGTAATTTAGTGTGGAGTGTTAATTCTCCTCTAGGTTCAATTTAGTAGGACTCCAAGGTTTTTCTTTTCCTTTTTTATGAAAATAAGCTTGATTGAATTAAGATATTTGAAAACTGAAACTTCAGAAGAGTCAATTATTCTTGATCATCCATTAGAATTTAGCCTTGGATTTGTAGACTTGTCATCGATGTGATTGTTTGTTTTGTAGTAGATGAAATGTTTTGTTTGACTTTAACATTATTTCAGTCTGAGAAAATTTGACGCTGGGTTTGGGTGTTGCAGATTCATGGGCTTGCAGAGTATATAGCCCAGGTGAGATTGAAAATTATATATTTTTATATTCATCTTTAGGCTAAATATAATGCTTTACATTCCTTGTACAAATTAGGCCTTCCTTCTATTTCTGACCGGGCAAGTTGCGTGATAAATAGGTTCTGAAATGATGCTATTATTTACTATATCATTGTTAGCTTGTTAAAATTTTCCTTACTTTTAAAGTGCCAAAATTCACCCTTCTAAAAGCTTAATATTTTTATGTGCTGTGCTGGCCTGGGAATGATTTTTAAATTTAACAATAACATGTAATTTTTGGATTTCAGGAGGAGATGGATAGAAAAACTGGATATTGGTGGTCACTGGACAGTAAATATATTGCTTTCACTGAAGTTGATTCTTCTGAAATACCACTTTTTAGAATTATGCACCAAGGGAAGAGCTCAGTTGGTTTAGAGGCACAGGAAGACCACCCTTATCCTTTTGCCGGAGCTTCCAATGTTAATGTGCGCCTTGGGGTTGTTTCAGTAGCTGGAAACTCCATTACATGGATGGACCTTCACTGTGGGGGTACGGAACAGCAAAACAACGAGGAGGAATATTTGGCAAGAGTCAATTGGATGCATGGAAACATTCTCACTGCTCAGATCTTGAACAGACACCACACTAAAATAAAGATTGTTAAGTTTGATATTAGAACAGGCCAAAAGAAAGATATATTAATGGAAGAAAACAGCAATTGGATCAATATACATGACTGTTTCACACCTCTTGATAAAGGAGTTACCAAATTTTCGGGTGGATTTATCTGGGCTAGTGAAAAAACAGGATTTAGACATCTCTATCTTCATGATGCGAACGGGGTTTGTTTAGGACCCATCACTGAAGGTGAATGGATGGTTGAGCAAATTGCTGGTGTGAATGAAGCTACAGGTCTAATATATTTTACTGGGACCTTAGATGGTCCCTTGGAGTCCAATTTGTATTGCGCCAAACTTTTTGTTGATGGAAATCAACCACTTCAGATTCCTGTCAGACTTACACACAGCAAGGGGAAGCACCTTGTGGTCCTTGATCACCATATGCAAAACTTTGTTGATATTCATGATTCCCTTAGTTCTCCTCCTAGGGTGTTACTGTGCTCATTGGAAGATGGAAGTGTAATCAAGCCTTTATATGAGCAGTCATTTACAGTTCCAAGGTTCAAAAGGCTTCAACTTGAGGCACCGGAGATTGTTGAAATACAGGCTAGTGATGGCACTACATTGTATGGAGCTCTATATAAGCCTGATGCTTCAAGGTTTGGACCTCCACCTTACAAAACTATGATCAATGTTTATGGTGGTCCAAGTGTACAGCTTGTTTGTAACTCTTGGATTAGTACAGTTGATCTGAGAGCACAATATTTGAGAAACCAAGGCATCTTAGTTTGGAAGGTCAGTTCCCTGAATTTTACATGATTATGCTCCACCTTTTTTGCTTTTGCCTGCTTTTAAATTTTTATGCATCCAGGTTTTGATGACAACTGCATGATTAAACTCAAACGTGTACATAATTACAATATATTGAATGTAATTTATGAACTATGATTGAGATAAGCAAGCCATCTATTGAAACATGAAACTTCTGACACGTCTAATAGTGACTGCAAATGTTTTCACCCATGCATTTCATGTTTCCATTTGTGGCAGTGCTCTAATGTCCCAAAAACATTACTTGCATTGGTTCTTGTCCCTGGAACTTTTTAATTGGGAATGTTTTTTCTTTCTTTCTTTGGGCAACAGACAGGGCAGTTTGCCTACTTTTTTATGATATGTAGCATGGAAAAATATAGCTTTTGCCTCTATCTGGATTCTGTTATATGGTCAGCTTATGCTTCCAAGTTAAACATGCTGTCCTTGTTTACAGTTAGACAATAGAGGAACTGCAAGACGAGGGTTGAAATTCGAAAGCTATTTAAAACACAAACTTGGTCAAATTGATGCTGATGATCAGCTAACTGGAGCAGAGTGGCTTGTCAAACAAGGGCTTGCAAAATTTGGTCACATTGGGTTGTATGGTTGGAGCTATGGCGGTTATCTCTCTGCAATGACACTGTCAAGATATCCAGATTTCTTCAAGTGTGCAATAGCAGGTGCCCCTGTCACATCATGGGACGGATATGACACATTTTACACAGAGAAGTACATGGGTTTGCCATCTGAAAACAAGTCAGAATATGAAAGTGGTTCTGTTATGAACCAAGTGCACCAGTTGAAAGGGCGGTTGTTGCTTGTGCATGGCATGATTGATGAGAATGTGCACTTCAGGCACACTGCAAGGCTTATCAATGCACTTGTGGCAGCTGGAAAGCCATATGAACTAATAGTTTTCCCAGATGAACGCCACATGCCGCGGCGTCACAGCGATCGAGTTTACATGGAAAGGAGGATGTGGGACTTCATTCAGAGGAATCTGTAACATAAATTTTCTTTCATCTTTAGTTGTTGTGTTTAGTTGAATGGGCTGAGTAGTTTCTGAAGTTCTTTTACCCAAGAATTGGTTTTATTTCTTCTTGCCTTCTAGCTGGTAAGCTACTTTGATGGCTATTTTTGCCCACTTCACACCCTAAAACAAACTCTTCTGGTATCAAATAACTGAATAAGCCTTTAAAATCCAAATATTGTAGGTCTTATCTAATATTCGGAGGAGGAATTATCAATAGACTAGTTTGATCTAAATTCTCAAATATGTTGTTCTTCCTTACCTTAATCTGCTATTAGAAATCTCTTGGTAGAACTAAATACTCCAACAGGATATTATGTGTTGCTTACAAGGATGATGATGACGTCTTTTAGGACTCGTTAACAAACTGGATAATCTTTTTTTTTTTTCTTGATATTTCATAATTTAATTTGGAACACAGATATGTGATGATTTTAAATTATTTACTGATCTAACCAAATGGGGACTTTAGTTAGTTCTGAACTTGTAATGAATATGCTTAAACTTAATATTAAAGATTTTATTATTATTATTATTAAGTCGATTCGTTTAGGTTCGGCTTTGATGATATGAAACTTGATCACCCAGTATTATATACTGTAAATATCTTGAATATTTAAACGCGGCAGTTACAGTAATGAACATTTTTGGGATTATAAGATCTTAATTTCCCAAGGATTCGTTCATCAGGTTGATAATCTAATAATCCACTACTTACATTACTACTCTAATTACAAACATAGATCTAAGTCAAATTGTTATATCAAATTTCCTCCTTCACATGCTTTTTCTACTTCAATCTCATTCTTTTTCTTAAGAGATGTTTGATTTCCTTTGTTTTCTTGTTGACTATGTGTCTTGTTTATCCTTTTCATATTATCAATCTATACATTGTAAGGTAAAGAAAATGATTTGAATGAGATGTCATCATGAAAAAATATTCCAATAGATACATAAAGATAAGTTAAATATAGGCAACAAAAAAATCTTAATATCAAATAAATTACATGTAGTATTTAATGTAATAATTTAAAGATAGAAATTAATAAAAAAAATAATAATTTGAAGATAAAAAATTATAAAAAAGAGTAATCTTATAACCTAGTTTAAAATTGTAATAAATTTGTGCAAATATAATAACAGAATGAAACATGATTTATATAAACCCACAAATATACACAGTATCATACATCTTACAACCTAACAAGGAGAATACCAAGAAAAAAAATTATAAATTAAAATTAGTTTATGTAACTAAAATAAAACAAACATACACTAACAAATAGATAGTCACAATCATATTGATAAATGATTAATCGCATCAAACACAAAGCAAGATATGGCCACCGAACTTAGTGTTAGAATGAAGTATGCATGAATAGTGCAAAGAATGGTATTTAGGAGAAAATATTCTGAAAGTGAATATTTTGTTTAATATGGTTTAGGTGTAAATCACACATTTCTCTCAATTTTATCTTATTTGCTATTTTTTTTCTTCTCTTCTATTATGGGTTATTACTTTTATAGAGTTTATTATTAAGAAAATCTAAGATTTTTATTATACGTTATCAGACTTGTATTAAATCCTTAAGAGTAATAATTATATATTTTTTAGGAAAGTTTTGTTTATATGATTGTGAGCATTTACTATAATCTTAAGGATTTAAGATAGATATTAAAGATACCAACAATAATTTTACATACGAGAAGACAAACAATATTTTTAGAACTTAAACGGTCTTTGCAAAATCTTTACTAGACATTTTAGAAATTAAAATTTTCTCTAGACAATCCCATATTGGTCATTTCTACTTTGTTAGATATATATGGTGTGATTTTCACTCTTATAACTACTCAACATAAGTCTGATACTCCTACAAAATATATTGACAACTAAATTCATTCAAACAAGGTTTATAAACACGTTTTGATTTATGTATTGTCTAATTATTTATAAGAAAAATATTGATTATTGAAAAATGGTTTAGAATTATAATTTATAGATTTATATTTTTTTATCTAAATTTATAAAATAAGATTATTTTTAAAAAATTAATATTATTAAAATTTATTCTATAAACTTAAACTTATTGAAATTAATATTTTATAAAGGCTAATTTTATTTATATTAATATTTTATTATTTAATTGAATTTAAATTATATTTTTTAATAAAAAATATATTTTAAATAATATTTTGTAAATAATAATATTTAAAATAAAAATATAAATATAAATATCTACAAATATTCATAAATAATCACAGGTATAAAAATATTTATAAATATTTTTTAAACAAATACGTTAGCAGGTACCCGATGAATAAAAATACAGATAGCAGGAATACATTATCCGTATTCTTCCAATTCATTACCATCCCTACTCACCAAGTACACACGTGTGATCTTAAAGCTTTGACCGATGGAACAGGTCACAAATTCTTGTATTTGAAAGTCTTTTTTGGACAAAAGTTTTGAACCGAAGAAAACACTCATCCAATGTATTACCAAGCAAGATTATTTTATTTAATTGAACGTTGAATGTGTTTGATGTGATGTCATTGGATATTGAAAGTTTTATAACTAATCATTTACATTTCTTAATTACATATCAACAAATAATTTTAATTCCAACTAATATTAATTTTCTTAAATTTATTTTAATAGCATAAATGATTTTGTTCGTCTATCTACTTCTAAACCCAAAAAAAAGGAAATAAAGACTTGCTTTCTCAAAGATATAAACTTTTAACCAAAAATCACATTAACTTAAATTTTATTATAAATGTTAATCTAGATCCTTCTCCGGCGGAAGTTACACACCCATTGAAGAATTCTTTTCCCAAAATTACCACATTGGCCCTCCTAGGTTGAATGATAATCACAATAACATATCACTAATAATATTAACACATAAATAATCACCGTTTTTTTAAATAATTATTACCTACTTGAAATAATTACTAAATAATTATAACACGTAATTAATAAGTCATTTCATTGCACAACTAATCTGCATAAAAGTTGTTAATTAATTTTCTATTGGATTTTTATCTCTTTATTATTTATTAGAAATTAGTTTTTTTAATTTTTTATTTTTATAAATCATATATTATTGAATGATAATTAAAATAGAAAAAAAAAGTTACGTAAACGTCGTCCAAAGAAAACATTTTATCTGGTGTCGCTCAATAATGTTATAAATTTTATTCTTATTATTACCATTTTATCTATATATTTTTTTTTGTTAATGTTAATTTAATTAAATTTTGAAAACTAAATACTTTCTTATGAAATCAATAGAAATATTTTTTTTATCATGAAATTAATTTCATATGAAGTTAGATAAAGGCTAATACTCTCTGAAGAAAAAAAAAGAAACTCTTCCCTTTAATTTTAAAAAACCTTTCAATTTCTTATTTGATATATATCATGAAAATAATTTATATTTTTGTTTTAAATATTTATGAAAATATAAATGGTGAATTTATTGCATGATAAATATATTAAAATAATAAACGACAAAAGTGTTATGATTAACTCTTTTTTTTTTAAATCTCCTTTACATCTTCCATTAGATAGTTATAATTTGCAAATGCTTAATGAAAAAGTATGTCTAGATAATTTATTAGAAAAAAAAATTATCTAACAATTCTGTTTATTAATATAATGTTAATAAAAAAATTAAAATTTTTGTATATATTATTATTATCGTTAAAATGTTTGAATAATTAGGTGATCAACATATCCCGTGTTCATTCGTAAAATCTACATATACAGTTTACAAAGATAAAATTAAGAGTATGATTATATATTAAAATAAAATTTCTTATTAGTTTACAAAATGTATCACTGGGAAAATATATCAATGCCTTAGAAAAAAGATATATTTAACAATTACCATGCAATGAAATAAATAAAAAAATAGTAAAAAAGTATTGGAAAGAACTCAGAATTTAAAAGCTTTATCGTAGCAACAATGTCTAGAAATTTCTTTACACAATTAACTACTATGTTACCTCTGTTTTAGATTAATTATTCTTCTTATGCTGAAAAATAAAATATCCTGCATTAATACATTAAATGGGGACAAGGCCAATGTCTTTAATTAATTAACCAATAAATAAATAAATAAATAAATAAATAGATTTGCAACGTGTCTTTAACTTTGGTGACAAGTCATGGAGTCCACGCCTATAAATGGCACTCCCGTTTCGAAACCGTATTCTGACACTGTCTTGTTTCAATTTTCTGCATTCCGCGACACTGACTCACTGAGTTGCGTTTTCCCCGGAAAATTGGGAACCTGAGAAATTTCCGATTCTCGGAGAAAATTCACACAATGGTGCTTAATTTCTCCTATCACCGTCATCGTTGATGAATCTCCTCCCCGATTTCGCTTCACTCTCTGTAAGCTTTCTGTTCACTTTATTTCCTTTCGTTTCAGATTTTTTTTTTCTTTTCTTCTAAGATTCGTCTCGTGAATTGTGTTTCTCAGCATATGTAGCTTGTTTTTGTAGGAAGCAATTTCAATTTTATGCAAAATATCTCGTGTCCGTTTCGCCTAATTGAAACAATTGTCTCGTTTCGTTCGCAATCCATTGGAATTTGTTTCGTTTTGTTGTGCATTTTGCTTTTTCTTTTTTTTTTTTTTTTCCGAGTTTTGGCTTTCATGTATGATTCTAGGAATATTGGAACTCGAGAGTTATGATGTGTCTTTAGCTCGCCCAGCTTTACTCGTTTCCTGAGGTAATCGGAAAGAAAAAAGTACTTGTTTACTTAATTTTTATCTGATTGAATGTTTCTTCTTTGTTGGAAAACTGAACGAGATGTTCTCCATTTTGCTGATTGCTAAGTTTTTAAGTGGGTGAAGAGGTTCTTTTCTTTTCTTTTATGTTTTTTACTTCATGTTTCCTTTCTTTGACTCTAATTTCCTCCGACTGAAGATTTTATTTCTTTTTGTAGGGAAATTGGAGTCCATTTTGCAGGGAATCCATCATTCCTTTCTCAGCATCAACGAATTTTCCTAAGCATAGAATAAAACGCGACAGATGTGAAAAAAATCATATAATCAATTCAAGGAGATATGTGATCAGTTGGTCTTCATTTCCCTAAATTTGTGTTTTCTGGAAGTCTTGGTTTCTGGAAAGAAACTTCGGATATAAATATATTAGGTATGTAGTTCTTGTTTACTGCTTAGGTTCAGGCATGAGGGATCACGAAGAAAAAAAAGCAGTTGAGGCTATCGTTTTTGTGTTTTCCTATTAAATTTCCGATGGGAAACGGGTGAATTTTGCTATTGGTTTTGAGGTTGTTCATAACTTGTTTACTTTTGGGCCAGCAAGATGTTGAAGTTGTAACTTGATAATGGCTTGCGTGGCACTTCGTCCTGTGCGTGAAGAATCTTTCAACACCGGTGGTGAATTCACCGGCTGTTTTAACCCACTTTTGAGGGACTCAATTTTGATTCACCTAACTGTTGGTGGATCTGTGATTCCTATGCGTATTATGGGGACAGATTCAATTGCTTCAGTGAAGCTGAGAATTCAAACCTTCAAAGGATTTTTCGTAAAAAAGCAGAAACTGGTTTTTGAAGGGAAGGAGTTGGCTCGTAACAGATCTTGTATCCGTGATTATGGTGTTGGTGATGGGAATGTTCTGCACCTGGTGCTGAGGCTTTCTGATCTCAAAGCTATCACAGTTAGGACTGTATGTGGAAAGGAGTTTGGGCTTTATGTTGAGAAGAGTAGGAGTGTGGGTTATGTGAAGCAGCAGATAGCAAAAAAAGGGCAAGGGTTAGTTGATCTCAAGAATCAAGAACTGATATGTGAGGGTGAGGCTCTTGAAGACCAGAGACTTATTGAGGATATCTGTAAGGATAATGATGCTGTAATTCATTTTTTGGTTAGAATATCAGATGCCAAGGTGAGGACTAAACCAGTTGAGAAGGATTTTGAATTATCAATTGAGGCATCATATGCAAACAATCTGGTGCCAAATTTACATACAAACCAGTTAGGGCCAGTCTCTGTAACAAATGAGATCCTGGAAAGGAATCAATTATCAAGGGATTATCTTGTGGAACCAATTATTATGAATTCCAACATAAAATTTCCACCAGTGATCCACGAGCTAATTAAGATCACTTCGGAGGGGCTAGAAAAAGGCTGTAAACCAATTCAATCTTCAGAGGGATCTGGAGGAGCTTATCTCATGCAAGATTCATCTGGCTCGAAGTATATTTCTGTTTTCAAACCCATTGATGAAGAGCCAATGGCAATTAATAACCCTCGAGGCCTACCTATTTCCGAGGATGGTGAAGGGCTAAAGAAAGGTACACGGGTAGGGCAAGGTGCATTGAGAGAAGTTGCAGCTTACATTTTGGATCATCCTAGGAAAGGACCACGCTCATATCATAACAATGAGGAACCAGGATTTGCTGGAGTTCCTCCTACTGTCATGGTCAAATGCCTGCATAAAGGATTTCATAATGTTGAAGGTTATCAGAATGTTTCAGGTAATGTTAAAATAGGATCGCTTCAGATGTTTATGAGGAATATTGGAAGTTGTGAAGACATGGGCCCTAGTGCTTTTCCAGTGGAAGAGGTACACAAGATCTCTGTGCTGGATATAAGGTTGGTAAATGCAGATAGGCATGCTGGCAACATTTTGATTGCCAAGGATGGTGAAGACGGTTCAACTATTCTCATTCCAATTGATCATGGCTATTGCTTGCCCGAGAGCGTAAGTCTTCGAAACTAAAAATGCTTTGGTACTGTTATGGGCAGCTATGTCGTGTTTTTTTTAAATCTAGCCAATTCTGAATTTGACATGCATAAGAATACTGTTACAATTATATGTAAATATTTTTGTTCAGATTGCCATAGGCATTATATTGCATGAGAAGTAGAGTGTTGGCTCCTCTTTAAATTCACTACACTTATGAATATCTTCTGATTTTGTATATTTTGATTTCTTATTATTGCTCATTCAACCCTTTTGAAATTCTCTTATACTTTTATTTCAGCAAATTCTTATCAATATTATTTTGAAAGGATCAGAGATAATAAAAATAAAATGGAGTTGCGGGGAATCGAACCCCGTGCCTCTCGCATGCGAAGCGAGCGCTCTACCTTATGAGCTACAACCCCTAAGTACTCTCACAAATTACAAAATCAGAAATTGGTCAAATAAGTTGATCCAAATGATTTTCTGAGGTTCTCTAAATTAGAATATGATAATTCTTCATGGCAAAGGCCTTAACACTTATCAATTCCTCTTTTTTTGTTTTTGTTATTCTTAAAAGGAGTTAAATTTTTTAGCATTAGTTAAAAGTTCGGCATCCCTCCTGTGTTTCTCATACTCATTCAGTTATTTTCTCTATTTGACCCCCTTTTGCAGTATGAAGACTGCACTTTTGACTGGTTATACTGGCCACAAGCTAAGGAACCTTACTCTACAGACACCATTGATTATATAAAATCTCTGGATGCTGAAGAAGATATTAAGCTTTTAAAGTTTCATGGATGGGATCTTCCTCCTATGTGTGCCCAGATCCTTCGTATATCAACCATGCTTCTTAAAAAAGGTGCAGAGAGAGGACTCACTCCTTTTGCCATAGGAAGCATCATGTGTAGAGAAACACTGAAGAAAAAATCTGTCATTGAACAGATTGTGCAGGAAGCTGAGGAAGCTGCATTTCCTGGAGCAAGTGAAGGTGCATTTCTCGATATCGTTTCAGCGATCATGGATAGTCATTTGGATGAGCTATTCCCGTGACGGACTATACATAATACCATTCTTATTACTACGTATCATTTTGATAAAACATTGACAAAGTGATCTGCTTCTTTCCTCTTCCAAGAGGATCCCTCAAACTCTTTAGTAGACTGTGGTTAAAACTTGCTTGCTGATCCCAATCAAGCATTCCATGCTTGTATTGCAATATCCATTTCTCTTGTATGTATCTCTCTCATAACATGGAAATATATTCGAATGTTGACCAGGAATGTTTATGAATGTCCTGTGCAATATTATCCCTTTGATATTTATGAATATAAATATGTTTAAATAAAGTTTTACTTTGTAAAAAAAGATAAATATTCTACCGTGTTATATTTTTCTTTAAATATGTTAAGGGAATTTTGCAGCTACCTAGCTCGGGTAATTTACATATCATGGGTAACCAGAATTTTAGGGAGGAAGATGTGTTTTAAAACACAATTTAAGTAAAAAAAATCATGTACTCAAACATATTTTCACATAATTTATTCTTTTAACTAATAAAATTGTGTTTAAGAGGTATCAATGAAAAATATAATTCCAGTCTTTTTTTTAATAATTAACAATTTTTTCCATTTATTTTAATTTTTTATATAAATATTTTATTGAAACTACGAAACAATAAATGTAATATATTTAGTAATTACTGATTTTTCTATTAATATTAAAAGATGAAAATACTTGAAAAAAAAAGAGACTTTTCTTTGTAATAGATACAATGTCAAAATAACAAAAAGTAGACTTGTGGCTATTTATCATAATGACACTTACAAATTAAATTGAGGTAGTAATAAATTAAGGATAATAACAGTCAATTTGGCGAACAATTTATCAGATACGAACAAATTATTTATTTGCGTTTCAAAGTTGAAGTTAGCCAATATAGTGATTAATGTGAATATTACTTCCAATAATGTGTAATAAGTACGTGGAACAGAGACGAAACTAAGTATTTTTCTTCTTATATTTTTATTATTGCTACGAGTATTTTAATTATATTTAACGTTGATCTGACGTACCAAAATAAGATGAAAACACTTGCTTGAAAACTTATCCCATTCTTAAAAAACCAGACACGTAAATTTGGAATGCCATTTTAATTTCAGTCAATTTCATTCATCATACTCTCATTTATTATGAAATCAAATAAACTTTATCATATACTCTAAATTGTTAACAAAGTGATTTAAAACGTGGATAAAATTATTGACATAAATGATTTTGTCAGTGAGTGACGTAGTTGCAGAAATTCCAGCTTATTATTAAAAAATAAAACGTGAAATTCGTATAGACAATTTTTTTATATAAGGCTATATATTAACGTTATTTATATTTTTTTCGAGATATAATGAATAAAAGATTCATTCTTTTTTGCATTTTATCCTTTTATATTTATGAGAGTCCAACATTTTGGTATAAAAACTGTATTACGGAACCCCGTCGGTCTTCTAAAGTATCACAAATGGCATCAGAAAATTTGTTTGTGCAGCATGCTATACCAAAGTTTCAAGTACATTACGATTATTGGGCTATGTTCATGGAAGATTTTTTATGTTTAAAGGAGTATTAGGATTGGTGCAAAATGACATTCGTTCATCAGGGGAAGGAACATCTCTCACAAATGCATAGAAGAAACACATGGATGATTTGTAATTAAAAGATTTAAAAGTAAAAAATTATCTATTTCAAGCATTAGATAGTTCAATTTATAGACCATTCTTAACAAGATATAATAAATGATATATAGGATTCTTTAAAACAAAAGTATCACAATATCTCATAGGTTAAGCATATCTAGTTACAAGTTTTTCGAAGAGAATTTGAAAATTTTCACGTAAAGGAAGTGAAATCGGACAAGAATATATTTACAATGATCATGTATTACTAAATTCTTTGACAGTTTAATAACAGAACTACTATCATAGTGAATTACAGTAGTAGTTGACAATTTAATAGTAGAGTTACTATTACAATGAATTACAGTAGCAGTCTGTCTTTGCATTCTACACAATTTTCCCAACAATATGCCTTTGCATTCTACACAAGAACATGATGTTGCACCCTTGTCATCTCCTCTGTCAACGTTGATCACCATGCAGAACAGGGACCGGTCGTGGAGGCTTTGGAAGAGGACGAGGTCGAGGACGTGGTAGACAAGGGTTTGATAAATCCACTGTGGAATGCTACACGTGTCATCAACTTGGAAATTATTAGGTGGTAAAAATTGATGTACCATTTAATTGTTATTCAACTACTTAAATTATGTTGATTCTGATTCATTTTTCCTCCAATGTAGGATGAATTTGCAGAATACCTTGGTACAAGAGCATAGATCATAATTCTCGAGATATTTGGAGAAAAAGTGGAAGAAGAAAAAAGATTTTCAGTCTGAGATTCGCCCGAGCGAGAAGTTGTCTCGCTTGAGCGAAAATACGTTAAAACTTTCTGAAAGTTACTCGCTTAAGCGAACATTTATTCGCTTGAGCGAAAATACATTAAAGTTCTTGGGTATCCACTCGCTCAAGTGAACATCTCTCGCTCGAGCGAAATTGCTATTTTTCGCTTGAGCGAATGACGCATGACCTAAATTGTTCTATAAAAAAATAAGATATGTTTTGAGAAAGGGAGTTCGAGGCTTTTAGAAGAGAGGTGCACCATCTACTCCAGTTTTCGTCCAATCTTCAATTCTTCTTGAATTCTTCTCCGTTGGATCATTATAATGGCCATCATGAGTGACTAACTTCATTCTCTTAGGATTGTGTGCACTTCCTTTGAACTCTTTTGTATCTTGGTGATATTTTGAGATATTAATTTATGTTCTTGATATTGATATTCTTATCCTTTGTGCTCTTTAATGTTTATTTTTTATGTTTGGGATGTGTTGAATATAGAAAAAATAGAGTTTGGGATTAATCTCCCTTGTGTATAAATCATACATAGGGTAGTCTATTTATAGTAGAGAGATACAACTAAAAGAGTAACTAAAAGTAACAGAATAAACAGAAGATATTGTTTGATATTGTGGTTAACAATATCTAACAATATCTTAACAATATCAAATAATATCTAACACTCCCCCTGAAGCTGGAGCATACAAATTGTATGTGTCAAGCTTGTTACAAATATAATCAATTCTAGGATCTCGTAAATATTTAGTAAAAATATTTGCTAACTGATCACTTGAGTTAACAAACTCAGTCATGATGTCTCCAGACATAATCTTTTTTCGAATGAAATGACAGTCAATCTCAATGTGTTTGGTCCTCTCATGAAAGATATGATTAGAACTAATATGAAGAGCAGTCTGATTGTCACACACAAGTGATATTTGAGTGACATCACCAAATTGTAACTCTCTAAGTAATTGTTTGAGCCAAACAAGTTCACAGGCAGCTGAGGCCATAACTCTATATTCTGTTTCTGCACTAGATATTGCCACAACACTCTGTTTCTTACTTTTCCATGATACCAAGTTACCACCAATGGAGACACAATATCCAGATGTAGATCTTTTATCCAAAGGAAATCCTGCCCAATCAGCATCTGAGTAACAAACAACTCTTGTATAGTTATTAGAATCATATAACAATCATTTTCCAGGAGATCCTTTAATATACTTTAAGATACGAATGACTGCATTCCAATGATCTTCACATGGGGAATTAAGAAATTAGCTTATCACACTGACTACAAAGGAAATGTCAGGACGAGTAACTGTAAGATAATTCAATTTTCCAACCAATCTTCTATACTGCTCAGGATCAGGTATAAGCTTCCCTTGATTTGGTAGAAGTTTAGTATTGGGATCCATGGGTGTATCAACAGACTTTGAATTCATCAACCCAGTTTCCTCCAAAATATCCATGGCATACTTCCTCTGAGATATAACAATACCATCATTGGACTGTGTCACCTCAATACCCAAGAAATATCTAAGTTTGCCAAGATCTTTGGTCTGAAAATGGTAACAGAGATGTTGTTTCAACTAAGAGATGTCATGGTTGTCACTACCTGTAAGAACGATGTCATCAACATATACTATCAAGTAAACACATCCAACACTTGAGTGTCAATAAAAGACAGAGTGATCTGCTTCACACCGAGTCATACCAAATTGTTGAACAACCTTGCTAAACTTTCCAAACCAGGCCCTAGGAGACTATTTTAGGCCATATAGGGATTTGCGAAGACGACATACCATCTCAGAGGACTCCCCCTGAGCAACAAACCCAGGAGGTTGCTCCATATAGATTTCTTCTTGCAAATCACCATTGAGGAAAGCATTTTTAACATCTAGTTGATAAAGAGGTCATTGTTGAAGAGCGGCCATGTGATGAGTGGATAAAATATCATTACATTCATGCATTAATTTAGGTTAATTTCATATGTTGTTGCATTATGGGAACGATTTCATCATGCATTATCGTTGTTTTGGATCATACATGTGGTTTGTGCATTGTTCTTGTAAATAGGTGTTTGGAGGTTTAAATTCATAGTTTGGAGCAAGTTCCACAGGTACCTTGTGAAATGTTCCACAACCTGTGGATTTGGTACCAGAATGCAAAGATCAAGATCAGAGAGCTCCACAGGTGTGTTGTGGATGTTTCCACAACCTGTGGATTTGTGGTTCAAAAGGCACAGTTGAAGTCAGAGAGTTCCACAGGTGGGTTGTGGATTTTTCCACAACATGTGGAAATTCAAGACAGTTATGAGAAGTGGTAACTACCTCAACAAGTGGAGAAAAAACGTGGGACACCCTATAAAGAAGGGGAACGAAATTGAAGAAGGAGGGAGAACCATTCGAGAATCTTTTACGTTCTAGTTATTATCTTTTAGCAATTTTTTACATTATGGAGAACTGATTTTCCTGTTGTTAGAGGATTGATGTAGTACTCTGAATTATATTTTCTTGTTCTTGACAATTGATGTTTAGTTAATGTTCTTTATCTCAGTGTTCTATTTATAATTTTCAAGTTCATTCCACGAGCAGTTTCACA